CGTATTGATGGTATAGTTTTATCTAATGTCCAATTAAATTCTAATTGAGAACGTGTTAACGATTTTAAATGAATATGTGTTTCCGAACTTAAACCAATACATGTTGTTAATGCATGAATTTGTCCATTATTTGGTATCGACAATCGTGGTTTTTCTTGTGTAGCAAAAACATGTAAAATTTTATCAAATTTTTCTCGTTCATTTAAACGTACAATAATACGTTCTTGTTGAATATCAGAATTATTATTTAAACGTAATGGTTTATAACGAACAATTACAATTGCATAATCACCTTGTTTTATAAAACCATTGGATGGTTTAAATATAAATTGATTTGTTGATTCATCATTATTTGTTGAAATAAAACGATAAATTAATGGTGTTGTACCATTATTTGTTAATGTTAATGTTTGATATATTGATGTTTGATCACCTATGGGTGGAAATATAATTATATCACGATCAAATTGATATGATGGTACAATTTCATGATTAACACGTAATGTATTACCAATACATGTTATATCTAATTGTACAGGTAACATAACACCATAATCAGGTACAAGTGTAAAATCACGTTGATTTTTATATGAAACATAACCTTCAAAATGTTTTGTATAAAATGTATCAATAACTGTGGGTCGAAATATAATACGAAATGCTGCTGATTTTAATGGTAAGATTTCAATTTCAGTTGGTGATATAGAAAAATTTGATGAATTTGGTGTCGGCCATACAAGTGTTAATTTTCCTCGAGTTATATTTGTTATTGTTAAACTTTGTTGCCATTCATTTTTTGTATCTAATGAACATTGATCAAATAGAAAACATGTTTCACTTAATGTAACATATTCAAATCGTGTATTATCTTCATTTGAAAACCAATAAAAATAATTATCTTTTAATGGATTAGATAATGGTGGTAAAAGATAATCATGTTCATCTTTTATTGCTTTACTATCATGAATTAAAGATGAATCAGCAGATTCGATCAATGAACCATATTCATCTATTGTTAATTTTCCTCGTTTTAAATAATCATCTAATACTTCAAATGGATATAAAGCTAAATGACGTAAAATATGTCGTTTAAAATTTGATACATAACGATCATTTAATACAGGTGGTTTGCCGGAATCAGAATGACAAGTACCAATAAGTTCAAGAAGTATGGGTGATTGATATTCAATAAGAATTGGAACAATTTTATAATATCCCATTGGATGTATTGGTGCAAATGTAATAACAATAGTTAATTTTGATCCATTACTTGGTAAAATACCATTTTCTATTGAAAATTGAAATGGACTATCAGGAGATGTATAGATTTTAAAACGTGCAGAATTTGTTCCTTTAGGATTGGCTATTTCAATGATACGACTTGATTTACTGTTCTAAAAATAATGTTTTTTTTGAAGATTAAAAAATTTATTAGAAATATTTCTCGCTTACCATTAATACTTGTCCAAATGAAACTTTTTGTTGATTAATTTCGATAGTATTTTCCATCGCTTTTCCACTACATTCAACAACAGCTGCTACAAGATTTCCATGTTGTGTACATATATTAAAATAATCTTTGTAAGATTGTTCACATGCTTTTGGTTGAAATTTAATAGGAATCATTTGTCGTTTTCCTGCTTCTATTATACCTTCTGTTTTACCGAAACGAAAAGCTGTATCAAATTTAGCTACACCTGGTAATGATTCAATACGATAGGGTACACGAAATGCGGATTGATTAATAAAAATCAATTCTCGTTTAAGCGAACCATTCATAGGCATATCTCCAAAACGTACTAAAACATTGCCTGTATTTTCATCCATAGCTCCATCATCCGATCGAATAATAAGATGTGGAAATTTTCCAGTTCCATGTAGACTAAGTTCACATACAGATTGATCTCCATAAATACAAGTTGCTGTTCCAACATAAATTAATGCCCATTGAGGTTGAAATGAACATGTAAATGTTTGTATACCACCAATAGGTAAAATACATTCACGAGGTTCAATTAAAAATGGTTCACTAGAATTCCATTCAATATTTGTTTCTAAATCACCTGTATTACGTAATTTAAATGTTGCAGTTTGAATATCTTGTACAGCACAATAACCAAAATCGATTTCTTTTGGTTCAACAGCAACACGATATTGTGGTAAAACACCAGCTAATTTAATATGATGTGGTGTTTGATTGATATAAACAACAAGATCATCAACATAAAGAATTTTTTCAAGTGGACTAAATTGAATTGGTAAACTAAATGTCACACCTTGACTTAATGTTAAACGTCGAGGATAAATTGTTTGAAAATATTGTGTTTTAGGTACTTCATATGTAAATGAAATACTTTTTCCTGATAAATTTTTAAATGTTAAAACTTCAGTATATTCTTCACCAGGTATCCAATCACGATAAATACATTGTTTATATGTTTCAACACCATCCCATGTTACTCGTGCATTAGGATTTCGATAGACAAGACTTTGAGTGACACCATTATTTATTTCTAATGGAGCAAGTCCTGTTTGTTTAAGACGAATAAGACCAGGCATATTCTTTTTTTATCGATTTGTTAAAAATCAAAATCTACAGTTTGGTTGTCACAGATTCTTCTGTGCTAGTAACAACCATGTTGCTAGATGATTACAAAGAGGTCATTGATCGCTTTAACTATTTTTTCTTAGAAAAAAAATTTGTTCAAGAGAAAAATGAAAGAAGTTATTAATTTTGTAATTATATATAAGAATAAAATTAAATAATTTAAATACTTTCTATTGGATATTAATAGCAACCAATAGGATATTCATCTAGACATCACGTATATTTTCCGTTTTTCTTGATATAATGCGTATTTATCTTTAAAAAGTTATAAAGCCACTCAGCTTTCACCTCTATAACTCATTAATTGATATTACATCATCACTGATTTTTTAACTGATATCAAATCATGTGTACGAAGTCATATGACATAATGCATGCACGAGACTTATCCATCATTGGATAATAACAAGTAGTTAATAATATTTATTTTGTAGATATGTCTTCTCGTCTTTCACCTTACATTGAATTATTTTGTCGAGGTTTATATGATTCAGTACGAAATTCATTTAATGTCTTGACAATTGATGATGATTTTAGTAATAAATCATCGGAAAAAACTTCCACAAACCAACATCCACATCAACCAAAACCTAAAAGAGGTTCAACATCATCATCGAATGCAAAACGTGTTAAATCAAATTTAACACTTTTATGTTTATTCAATGGTGGAATTCTTCTTTGCGGCATGATTTGTTTTAATTATCTTTTCTTACCTGTATTTCGTCGATTATTTTATACATTAGCTGGATTAGATTCATCATCATCATCTCGTCCATTATTATTTATTCAACATATATTAACATATACATTTAATTTTCTATGGCTTATTCCAGCGTTTATTATCTCAAAATTTGTTAATTCATATTGGTTTCGTGATATAGCTGATGCTGTATTTAAAAAATTAACAAAAAATACTCGACCATTACCAGCATTATCACTTGCACGTTCAATAAGTGATGTTTTATTTAGTTTAATCATCCAAATATTTTTTCTTCTACAATCAACACTTATCTTATTAATACCAGTTCCAATACTTAATACACTCTTTGGTCATATGTGTCTTTGTTTACTTTATTCATTTTATGCATTTGAATATGCATGGATATACGCAAATTTAACTGTTAAACAACGTGTTGAACGTATTGAACTCTATTGGCCATATTTTCTTGGTTTTGGTCTACCATTAACATTACTTTCAACATATTTTAAATCAGTTATTGTTAATGAATGTATCTTTTCAATTTTATTTCCCTTTGCAATTGTTGCAGCAACATCAGTTAATTTTGATAAACGTATTCGATTACCACCAACACAACCAAATGTTGTACCATTAAATGTATTTGCTGGTTGTATTCGTTTAACAAGTCGTCTATTTGATTTGCTCAAACATAAACGTCCTTCAACTGTAGTAACAACAACCCAATGATAAAATAAAGATACTTTTCTTCTTCTTTTTCCTCACCGGTGACTTGTTTATTGAAATGTATTCACATCTAACTTGTATTTTTTCTTTTTGCTAAACAACTTTGAGAATGTTAAAAGATGACAAAACAACAAAACGAAAAGCAGTTGATTACATGTAATTTTTTTTTGTATATATGAAGATCAAGAGCTGGAAAATAAACTATTTTTTAACTTCACGATAGAAAAAGTTCTGATTAGAAATTTCATCAACACTTTTTATTGAATAGTATTAAAATTTATTATACAAGTTTTATATTAATTATGGTTTTGCAAAAACATTTTTAATATGACGTGATCGATTCTTATTTCTTGTTGTTTCCGATCGACGGTTATGTGGTTCTGCTGGATCGGTCTCTTCAGGATTATCATAAATTGTTGTAATATGAATATTGTCGTGTTGTTGACGATTACTAGTAGCAGTTCGTTTGTAAGGATTTCGTTCAATCTTCTCGCCAGTATAACCTAATCCTGTTTTATCTTTTATGGATAGTTTTCCACCATCAGCTGAAAGTGCTTCAGCCATACCCTCCACAGATGATCCAAGTCCTTGACCATCACGCCATCCTTGTCTCTCTAATAGACGTCGTCCAATACCCTATTATTTGACAGAAACATTCAAAGAAAAGTTTTCTCAAAGAAATTACTTTTGTATGTTTTTCAAATACACCAATTCGTTTATGTTCTGGATCAGTTTCATTCGATAAACGACCTTGACGAAGATCTTCCTCACGACGTATTGCCTGAAGTTCATTTCCAACTCGATCAGCAGATCCTAATTGAATTAAAAATACAATCATTAGATTGAAATTAATATTCAATGTACCTGCACTTTCATGATACATGCGCATATCAATATCAATATCATCAGCCATATCCAAATTATCAAAATCTTGTCCTTCATGTTCTTTCCAAAAAACATCATCTGTATAAAATACTAAACCACTACCACCCTTTTCCCATTTTAATTCAATTTTATGTTCAAAAAAATAAGGCGATGTGCGATCTTGTTTTGTAACATCATCATATTGTGCTTCATGTCGATCCCATTCTTCAAGTTCATCTTCTTCTTCATCAAGTTGTTTATCTTCAGTAGATATTGATGTATCATCTTTTCCACGATCAGCTTCTTCCTAAAAATGAACTTTTGTATTATAATAAAAAAACTATCAAGAATAATTTATACTCTTTGTTTATTCAGTTTATCAAGTGTATTTTTATCTTGTTCAGAGAGAATTTCATGACCTTGACCAGTTCTCAAATCCATTTCATCCATATCTTCTTCTTGTTCGTCAGTATCATCTTGATCTATAATTGTACCATAATCAAAACCAACACAACCATATTTTCGTTTCGAACGACATTTAGGAAAAATAAGTCCTAATTTTTCTATGCAAACAAAAATAACAGATAAATGATTTAGATAAAAGTAATTAATATAAACATTTACTAATAGTTGTTGAAGGTAATCGACAAGCATTAATCTCATTAAGAAAATATGAAGTTGGCGTTCCAACATTACCTTGAGGATAAACATGTTTAGGAGGTTTTAATTCAATTAAATTATTCGTTATAGATACATCTATAAAAATTTCAAAATGAAAATATTTATGCCAATAAACTTTTACCATTATTTTCATTGGTGACTTGACTAATAAGACATATGGATGATAAATAATTGCCTTTTAAATTAATCCAATGTTTTCGATGATAAAGACGTATGAATTCATTTAAACGTTTATTATAAACTTGTACAAAACACATTTGAGAGACACTCACGGCATTTGTTGATGATGGCGGCATTGGTCGATGACGAAAATGAAAACATCGAAAAGCTTTGGTTTCAACAAATAATGAAAAATAATTTCGTAAATCAGCTGAACGAAATGATTTAGGTATAGCAGAAATTAATACAGTTGTAAATAGTTCATCGGTTATCGTATTTGTCACTGTTAACGATGACATCAATATCTGCAACATGAATAACTTCACATGTGTATATGTGTGCAAATGAGTGTTTATTTTTAAGATCAATGAACAAGAGAGCACAGAGAAAAAAAAATAGGAACTAATAAACCACAAAAAAGAAAAAGAGAAGACGAAATAAAAGAAATAATAAACACGATGAAATTTTTAGTTTTTTTAGCTACACACAAGCACACTTTAAAAAAAAATGAGGAAAAAAGAGATAATTTTTTGTTTTCATTTTTCTTCTTTTTCGATACAAGACAACTTAAAGTTAAACATATCGAAGAGGATGGTCAATCAAACGGTTAAAACGACTTGATGTTTTGTTTTTGGAATGATATTAATAATATGATTGTTCAATTACGCTGCTTTTAGTTTAGAAGAACAGAAAAAAAAACACAGAGAAAGGAAATAACAGCAGCCCATACACGCACACAGAAAAAAAGGAATGAGAAAAGAAACGAACTTTATGGAATGATCATTGATATAATAAAAAAAGAAAGAGAGAGACAGAGAGAATGATAAGAAGAGAATTGTTGATCTTTTATTTTTTTTACATAGATTCAAATTCGTCAATACGTTTTTTCGTATTACCCTGTCGAATCATTTTTAATGTTTTGTATTTATCTCGACCTGAAGCAACATTTTGTTGATGTAAACGATCATTATCAGTAACCTTGTTAGAATTTTGAACAGAGCCTAATTCATCTTTAAGAGCCTAGACAAGAAGAAAAAAAAACGAAATATGTCTTTATGAACAATAGACAAAAAATGATTTACCTCAAGTTTTCTTTTCATATTATGATCTTTTGTTGTTGCAGTTATACGATTTTCTTCATGACGTGAAGCATATTCATTTGTACGGAGTTCAACACCTTTTGAAAAGAAATGCGAAATAGAAAAATAATATTGAAATAATCTATTTATTACCTCGTCCATTACGAGTTGTACTATTATCTTCTTCATCACTTTCTTCATCTTCCATAGGATTTCCATATTCGCCTGGATGTTCCATATAATGATGATTATTTGAATGTTGTTGGCTTTGAAGTACCTAAATATATATTATATAAATAATAACAACGTTCTTTTGAAAAAACAAAAACAAAAATTTCTATTAAGATTATTTTATATATTCCTTTTCCCGATGTTTTTATTTATATTATGCCTACCAAAGGACGAGAATGTCCTCGTTTTTTTTGACGATACTAAAAGAAAGAAGAAGATCTGATATATATATGTATAGTTCTCATGCAGGAGAAGAAGTGATGCTTTTTATATCTGTATTCATTTCAAAGAAAATGTATGAATTACCAATTTCTGTAATAGGACAAAATTTTTTTGATTTTAATGAATGAAGAATAGATAAGTAAATAATCAAAATGAAACATACTCTCATTTTTGCTTCACGTAATTGTTCTTCAAGTTCTCGTGCTTCATTCTCTTTTTGTTGAGCTTCTAGAGCTTTTTGATCAGCTAATCGACGAGCTTCTTCAATCTCTAGTACCTAAAAAAAAAACAAAAGTAAAAATCATCATTTGAAAATTTGACTTACAATTTTATCTTTTTCTTCTTGTTCATAACGAACACGTTCCATCATTCTTTCATGTTCTTTTTCAGCTTCTTCTCGTTCTTGTTTCAATCGTGATTGAGCTTCTTCAGCTTGTTTTCGTTTTTCTTCTAATTCTTTGGTTATTCGACTTTGATCTTCCAAAGCTACATTAAACAAAACAAATATACAATTATAAACTAAATTCATTTAAATAAGCCAACAAAATAAACACACAAATCACTAATATAAAAAACAACCAAAAAGAAAATTAAGAATCAAAATCAAATTATGTCTTTTTTTCCTTTAAAATATAGCATCTCACATTCATTCTTATTAATACACATTAAACTTGATGATTATTCTAAAGTAAATAAAACGACAAGATATGTCGAATAGAATTACTCACCTCGTCTTGCTTCGGCGGCATTTCGTTCGAGATCTTCAACTTTTCTTCTCATTGCTTCACGTTCTTGTTCAGCTTGTTTTCGACGATCAATTTCAGCTTGAATTCGTTCACTAAATAAACCAAATCATATTGAGAAAAACAAAAGAATGTAATTATGTTTATATACCGTTCTTGAAGACGAGCTAATTTTTCTTCTTGTGCTTGTGCTTTCATTTGTTGTACTTCAATTGAATCGGTTTTTCGACGACGCATATATAATTCATGATTACCCATACAAAGTGATAAAATTCGTCGATTTATACGAAGTCTTGGTGCATAAAAAATAAAGTCTGGTGATTTTTTTTCCATAGGTTTAATAACGAATTTCTTATCATTAAATGATATATTTCGTATTTCACTCCATGGAAAACCAATTTTAGGTGTTAATCTTAAGAAATGATAAATATATAGAACAAAAAAAAAATGAAAGTAAATTTTCTTTATACTTGTCTTGTTTATCATATATATTAAGACCAAGTGCATCAACACCAAGATAAAGTTCAGTACCTTTCTTATTACGTATATCAAAATAATTCACACCATACATTTCAAGATCTTGAGCAATTTTCAAATATTCAAGCATTGCTTCTTCTCTACAGACAAATAATGAAATATTTGATCAAAACAAAAACAAAAATTTACTTAAGCATTCCCCGATGTTCTTTCCACCAATTGACAACACGTTTTTCCCATTCTTCAGGTGACAATTGAAATTGTTCCATAACACGTTTTGGTAAAAGACGTTCGTTAACTAATGATCCCGGTCGTTGAGCTTCTTCATTAAAATCTCCATGTTTAGCTTGCATAGCATAAGAAGCAAGTAGAACACATGTTTCGGGTGGACAATAAACTTCATCAGTAAGAATTGATTCTTTTACTTGAAGAAAAAATAATTTTTGTGTTATTTCTTGAATAAGTTCTTCGGAGACTTCTTCAGGAAAAAAACGAGCACGAAATTTAAATGTTAATGGTTGTGATGAATTCTTTTTAATATCTTGACCTAAAACTTTCTTATTTAATTTAAGCCAACACGGGAAATCTTTTGAATCAGTATATTGAAGTCCGAAAAACCAGATTTCACGTAATGCAATTGTTTTAACAACCTAAAGAAAGAAAAATATTAATTTTATGTTGAAGAGAGAGATTCTCAATCATTTAAGATAAAATGCCAGAAGATAATCAAACTCTTCGAAATTTAATCTAGCAAACGAACTCTCCTAATGTTATTCAGAACACTCGGAAATAACAGTCTGCATTAAACGATCAAATCAAAAATCGATCCTTTCCACTACCTATTTTTATCCCATTCAACTATATAAATCTTACTTGATCAAAGAGTTGTTTGCCAGTAGTATTTGGTTGAATGGCAAATTCAAGTTCCGAGTCCATTGTAAGTACTCGTACATTAACCTAAATAGAAAGAAAATAATAAAAAAAAAACAAAGCGCTTTTATTTTTTTTTGTTTAATGATCAATGAAAAAATCAAATCGTAAAAAATTCAAAACAAAAATTCAACATAATATTAAAAATGATTTTTTTGATATTTATAATTTCATAAAAACATTTCTACGGTTTTTTATCTATTCATTTATATTTTGGTTCCTTGGTCGATATGGTTTTTCATTAATATGGTTATTTCTAATTGCTTTTATACAAACAATAGAACGACGATTTTATTTATTACGTCTTGAACGTATAAAATTATTTCAAGAATTAACAACGGATATACGTCCTACGATTGAAAAACATTTAAAAGAATTTCCATCATGGATATCTTATCCTGATTTTGATCGATGTGAATGGTTAAATAAATTAATTGCACAAATGTGGCCAATTATATCGGATTATGTTCAAAATCTGATTAAAAAAACAATTGAACCCGAAATAAAAAAACAAATTTCGGGTCTTTCATTTGAACGTATTGATCTGGGAGATTTTCCTCCACGTTTAGGTGGTATTAAAATTTATACAGATAATATTCGTTCGGATGAAATTATTCTTGATACAGAATTTTTTTATGGTGGTGATATGCAAATTAAAATGAAATATCATAGTTTAAAAGCCGGAATTAAATCACTTTATCTTCATGGTGAATTACGTCTTATACTTAAATCAATTGTATCAAAAATACCATTTATTGGTGCATTAGAAATATTTTTTCTTCGTACACCAACCATTGATTTTGATCTAACAGATATTGCAAATATTATTGAAATACCCGGTTTACATAATTTACTTATGTTAACATTAGAACGTATTTTACAAACATTTATCGTTACACCCAATCGTTTAATTATTGCATTTATGAATGAAATTGATATCAATCAATTAAAATTTCCTAAACCTGATGGAATTTTACGTATTGATATAATTGAAGCAAAAAATTTACCAAAACTTGATAATTCATTTATCATAACAAAACATTCAATTGATGCATATGTGACAATTAGCATTGGACAATACAAATTCAAAACACATACACAAAGAAATAATAATCCAAAATGGTATGAAACATTCGAAGTACCTGTGGAAGAATCGAACACTCAAAAATTACAGGTAATTCTATGATATAAGCAGCTTGTTCTAGTAAAAAAGAACTGATAGCCGCTTACTAGTATGATACATTAAATGCTAATCAGCATTTTACATGTATTTAATCGTATGTAAGCAGCTTGAAAATAGCTAGTCATGAGAGAAATAGATCAAAGATTGAAATCTATTATCCTTATAAACGATATTTTCGAAAGCTATAGATATCAGTTTTTGATGCTGATCTTGGTACTGATGATTATATTGGTACAATAAATATTCCTATTGAAAGTATTAAAGATAAACATGATGTACTTGATCAATGGTATGATTTAATTGGTACAAAAAATTCAACAATACATATTCGTATGAATTGGTTTTATTTTTCAACGAATCGAAATTATTTTCCAGAAATTCAACAAATGAATCAAGAACATATTCATTTAATGTTATCAAAAATATCTCATACATTATCAACATCATTATTAATTGTTTATATTGAACGAATCGAACAATTACCATCAATTCAACATGGTAAAAATTTAGAACCATATCCATTTTGTTTAATTAAAATTGATAATTATGAAGAAAAAACTTCTATTATTAAAAATTCGATTAATCCACGTTGGATGAAAAGTTTTATGTTTATGCTTGTTAATCCCGAACAATCATTATTACAAATAAATATAAATGATTCAAATAATAAAAATCATCTTATTGGTACTGTTGAAATTTCAATAAAAAATCTTATGGAAGAAAAAGATTGGATTAGCAATCGTTTTTATCCATTAAAAAATTCTCCGAATACAAAACTTTATCTTAAATTACAATTACAAATCATGACAAAATCTCATCCTAATAGAAATCAATCAGATATAATAAGCGATATAACACCCTCTTCTGATGATACACAATCGTATAATTCAATAGATAATAAAATGCAATCAAAAAAATCCAAAATTCAAATTCATTTAATTAACAAACATAATGATCAACGGATTTTAAATCAACATAAATCTTCTCCAATAAAAAAATTAACTTTTTTTCAAACATTATTTTCATCATGTATTAAAAAATGTACGACAACATCATCAATGAATAATAATTTTATTAAAACAACTTACGGCTTTTGGTGACATTGTTGGATGATGCTTTTTTTTGTATTGTTATGTAGAAATTTTATTTGATAACTTAATCGATGTTGTTTAATAATATTTTATACATAGAGATATCGTCTATCCGTCGTCGTCCACAATGTATATGTGTGTTTATCTGAAACGAATGACTGAATAGAGAAAAAAAGAAGGATTTTGTAGGAGGAGGAGGAGAATAAGAAAGAGAAGAAATGCGATGTATGTGTCAACAGTACTGCTGTTTAATAACTCTGCTGAAGAATAAAAAAAAATAAAGGTGATTCACTATTGTAGTCATAACGTGAAATGTAATATCCCCCCTATTAGTATTGTCCGATTTCAGTAGTAGTAATAGTAACTGTAGATAAAGACAAAACTAGTGAATAGAATATTTGTTCCGTTATATGATCTAAAGACGACGAATAGAATGGGGCGTACAATATGAGCAAACATGACATAACACGGAGTAACCATGACCAGATTCGTGTGTGGCCGACCGATCGACGACTGATTGTTAGCAGAAAAGGATCATAAGATATAACTTTCAAATAAAACGCACGTGCTAGGACATCAAAAATGTACAAACTATCGAATCAATAAACGAAAGAAATAAAGATTATTGCAGTTTTATTATTCGAACAAAGAAAGTAAATGATGTAGAGAATTTTTATTTTAGTACTTGTTTCGAGACATATATACACATATAATTTGTCACAGATATCTCAATGTCTGACGAATAATAAAACACAAAAAAGAAAGTAAAGAATGACTATATGTTACAATGAGATGAATATAACAACAAAAATGCAAAATATTTTTTCGTAAGAAACTCAATCAAGACGTGCTCGCGCGTAAAAAAAGGCGGTTTGAAGGCCATATTTTTATTATCATTCTTTGTTACATGCTTAAGGATTTGTTCTAACCTTTCGTATTTCTAAGAAATAAAAATAGATAGAAAAGTATTTGTTAGCTATTCTTTTCGTTTTTTTTTGTAAAATTAATTATCGAACAAATGTGTGCGTCATCTTGACCTGTTCATATATATCTATATGAATATAAATGTAAAAGTTTTATTGATGTGAAATGAATAAATAATAAGTGAAATTTTATGTTATTTTAAATTGATCGTATCACTACAATCATATCATTTACCTTGCATATCTCATCGATTTTATGACCTATTATTCTTTTTCTTATTTTACATTCAGGTCAATCGTATAGTTACTGCCAGTTTAAAATGCGTGAATAGACAGACTATCGAATTATATTCACAATATTCATCTATTCTCAATACTCTATAAATATTATGTAATAAATATTAAACTTACCCAGTAATATTTATATATGTAAAAGTATATATTGTTGTTTTTTTTTCTTATAAGAATCGAAAAAGCTTAATAGATAAAAATCAATAGAGAAGAAAAATAACTCAACATTCTAAATAAATAGCACTGATCTCTTTTTCTTTTTTTTGCATGTACCTAGGATTAAGTCTCACGCATGTTGTTTTGCATTTATCATAAGACAGTGGTGACCACTATATTGCCGCCGTTTTAATAACAGCAATAGAGTGAACAAACAACTGAAGGAAAAGAGAAAGAGAGAGAGAGAGATAAGACGAAAGTCAATTATATGTGAGAAAAGAGAGAGAGAGGGAGAAAACGAAAGAGAAGTAGCAGACAGATACACAATAAATAATACAGACGAACAGCGGCGTCGGTTAAGGCTCGTAAGATTTCAACCATTAATTTACTATATCGAAAGAAAGAATTTTTCGTCTGCCTACACATTGTATGTTGAAAGGGAAAGAAAGAAAAATGAAAAGAATGAACGGACAAACGATACTAGAAGTATACCTTGTTTCTTCTCTTTCTAATGAGGTCGAGTACGAAGGAACGTGTCTGTGTATATGTATTTGATGATAACGTGTCATTTTTGTACAATTTTATCTTTCTATTCGACTACTCAAGATAAAAACAAAACTCAAATAAATAAATGGTATCGATCAAACTAATTTATTCAGTATCGTCTACGACAGAAGAAAAAAACGAACTGAGACAAAAGAAAAATAATAAATGACCGAACTTGAGGACAGACAGAGAAAATAAAGAATGAAATGGGGTTGGCTCTTGTCCTAACTTGAGACATATATACATTTATATATGTATATGCCTTGAAGGTGTAGATACAAACTATATGTAGAAACATGCTTTTGACAGTTACGAAAAAAACGGAACAGAAAAGTAAATGATTATTTTTTGAAATAAATAATGATGACTTAAAAAGTAGAGAAAAAAAATCGAGTACAACTGAAACCTAACCGTAGAAATAATATTTTTTGATTTGAATATCATTAGTTTTACGGTAATTTGTAGAATGTAAACAGTATGACGTATACAGATAAAATATACTGACAAAAACAAGAACAATTCGTTGACTGAATGAATGACTATTAGTTTTTACATACCTTGATGATTCATTTAAACTTCTTTATGTCAATCAAACGATTTAACCAATCAAAATTAAGTTATTGGAGGCTGAAATAAGTCATTCATGTCGTTTAATCTTTCGTAACTATATATAAGGAATTTCAATCGAGAATCAATAATTTCTTACGAAATATCGTTTAGAATCTATGACTAAATTATTCAAAAGGAGAATATATATAAAGATTAAGTAACTTATGCAATACGCTATATTTTATGATGATATAAAAAGGAAAGAAACAGATTATGTTCTATTTGCTACACGTGATAGACTCTAGAAATATAAAATTCTAGATTAGATAACAAATAAATAAAAAACTACATGCAAGAAAGAATTATCTACTACAGTGCATTTTTTAAATACATATCTGATTTAATTGTGTATAGTAAGAAATGCGCTGTTAATGTCTAATTTAGCTCTCGGTGAACTTCATGAGTAAAAATTGTTAGTCTTATACATCGGTAATATGTAAAAATTCTCTGTTCTTCCGTTTCCATTGGATAATAGAGAAAAAATGTTATTTTAATGACAGTGAATGAATAGTTGATTATGTTCAGTAACTTGTAAGCCATTTTCTCTCTGCTAAATAATGTTTGTTTTAATCTCAATAAGATTTAATCATCTTGATGATTATCTAACAACATAGTTTTATCAATGCAAAATTGTAATTAAAATTATTCCTTTATTAACTCCCCTATGAATAAATATACATAGAGAGAGAGAGAGTATTCCATATATTATATAATACAAATGAGATTTACTAATAATCTTTTCTATATTCAAAAATTACAATAGAATTATTCTGAATCTTAATTTGATGAATTCATGATTGAAGAAGTTCTCGTCAAATTGACATAAATCGATACATATGGCATTGTTTCGAATAAGAGAAATCCAAGATATGATATCATAGGTATTGAAAAGTTCTGTTTTTATAAAACTAAAAAAATGTCGATTGTTAAAGATTGTGTATAGTACAAGCATTTCTTTTTGATGATTATTATAGAATGAAACAACTTGTACTTTTATCAATGATCCATTTTTGCTATCAATAGTTACTTTATTTGAAAAGAATTTTACAAAGTTAACAGATGGTGCCAATAAACATGAAAAGACAACATTGAATTGTATTATATATGAAAACTTTTAACATTCAATAGACTATAGTTCAAAGAGTAAATCAATTAGTAACAATAGATCGATCGTAACTTTATAGGATTACCTATCGCCTCAAATAGACTATTGTTAACATGAGAGATAAAATGAACGTTACTTATAATTGATGAAAGTTATACTTAGACCAACAGAATAGTAGCTTATTGAGAATTATTTGTGAGATAACATTATTTTATGACTATGCATGTCAATATTGAATTATATATATATAATTTTGAAGCTTGTTTCATGACAAATAAATACTATTAACTAAAAACATCTGCTTAATACGTCACACAATGTACAAGTATAAATAATTTCGTATCGATTCAAAACTGTCAATCAAACAATCTAAGTAAGACGGTACCTAAAATTAAATTTTTGGAAACATTAATTGAACTAGTATTGCTTGATGATTAGATAAGGTCGATAAAGAAAAGTACATCGCTGATAATTCTATTTATAACTAATATGTGAAAAAGAGCTTATACATGTTTTTTTACAATTTATCTAGGCCGATAAAAAAGCCAATAATCATGTAAGTACGAAAGATGATAGGAGAGGCAAAAGTTTGTTGTAAATATCATCGGAGTAAATTTCTTTTTCTAACAAGAATATCGAAAAAAGATATCGCAAAAATAATATTTGCATACTCAGATTTGATTTTATATATTAGCTCTTTTGTTGTATTAACATTTACAGACATTTCATTTAAAACAACTTTACCTTGTTTTACACATACACATAGAAATCATTGGAAAATGCAGTTTTTCATCTTTTTTTTCTTTATAATCATTAATTCTCTTCAGCAAATTCGTGCTGAAAATATTACATTTGTTCCAAAACCGATTACAATTACTGTATCTGGTCTGCCAGCACCGAATGCAAATGAATCAATACGTAAAAATGCACAAGTTATTCCTGTACCAGCAGATCCTAAACTTTATGTCCCTGAGGGATTTACTGTCAAATTATATTTCGCGAATCTTACATCACCACGGTATCTTATTTATACACCTTCTGGTGATATACTTGTTAGTGAATCAAATGCAAATCGTATTTCTTGCTTAGTCGATACAAACAATGATGGAAATCCAGATGAACGAATGACGTTTGCCGACGCTTCAAATGGTCTCGATCGACCCTTTGGAATGGTTTTTATTAACAATTCTTTTTATGTGGGTAGTCGAAATGCAGTACGTCGTTATCCATGGGTGAATGGAAGCCGAAAAATTGAAGGTACTGGTGACGTTATCATGACCTATGGTTCGAATGGACATTGGACACGAACTGTTGTCATGCCACCATCAGCTGATAAACTCTTTGTTAGTATCGGTTCAGCATCAAATGTTGAGGTTGAAGATTTACCGCGTGCAAGCATTCAACAAGTTAATTTTGATGGTACTAATAACAAAACATTTGCCTCTGGTCTTCGTAATCCTGTCGGTTTAGCATTTCATCCGGTAACAAATGAATTATATGTTGCTTGTCAAGAACGTGATCTTATTGGTGATAATCTTGTACCTGATTTTTTTACACGCGTACAAGAAAATGAATTTTACGGGTGGCCTTATGCATATCTCAGTTCAAATTTAACTGATCCAAGACGACGTTTAGAGAATGGAACAAGTGAACGACCTGATTTAGTATCGGCTACACGAACACCAGATGTTCTATTTCAAGCTCATTCTGCTGTTCTTGATATGCGTTTTTATACTAGTACACAATTTCCTGATCGATATAGAAATGGCGCATTTGCAGCATTACATGGTTCTTGGAATAAAAATGAAGGAACAGGTTATAAAATTGTTTTTATACCATTTAATAAAGATACTAATCGACCATTAGGATCATATGAAGATTTTATTTATGGATTCTTAACAGATCCATCGGGTCCATTAACATATGGTAGACCAGTTGGATTATTAGTATTAAAAGATGGAAGTCTTTTATTTAGTGACGATGGAAATCATCGATTATATCAAGTACAATATAATTCGACGACTAGTAGTGGTCGAATTTACTTTATATCAATGATACTTATCTTTATTTGTGCTATTTTTTCAATCTAATATTTTTTTGAAATAAATAATTGAAAAATTTCATTCATTTTCTAAAATGTTGATTTATCCTATTTATTTTTCTCCTAAAACACAAACAACATATCTTTAACAGCTTTATAATATGATGGCGACAAATATTTAGGAAGTTCTTCATGTGTTATCCATGCATGATCTTTATAAGGAGATGATTTAAGAGTAGCAAATTGTTTTATAACACCTGCTAGTAATTCACCTTTGTAGAAGAAAATCTATAAAATAATATTTTCTTAGAAAAAAAGAAAGGATCATTATTCGTATAGTCTTACTTTCTTAGAAGATGGATCTGCATCATTTTTATAATATGCTAATGGTGCATTTCCCGATATTTGAATATGAAGATTTCCGCATGTTGAAATAATTTGTTCAGCTGCCTAAAATTAATGAATAAATATTTGAAAATGATTATTTAAAATAGAAAACTAACTGCTCGTAAAGATGATTCACTATCGTAGATTTTTTCTGGAAAAATCCATTCATCTTTATTAGCTTGAGAATCTTTTTGTTGTACAATTAATAATAAATTCTTATCAAGTTTTCGATGATAACTTCGAAGATTATTTGTTTTATCGTCCTCTATATTGACAAAAATCAATCAAAATCAATACGAAAACAATAAAAAGCAGTAGATACCTGTTTCTCTTGACATAAATTGAAAATTTGAAAATTCTTTTGCTACACGATCTTCTAAATCAACAGCTGTTTGAACAATATTTACTGTTGAAGATGCACTTGTTGGTGATATTTGTCGTTGTTTAGTAATTTCACTAAAAACAACAAACTATTTTAATAAAAAATTTTCTCGTTTTTGTTTATTTACATTTCTCTTTTATGTCTTAATTCATGATCTGATAAATAACTATTTTCTGTTTCTATTTGTGTTAATAAATTTGTATAATCTTGTTCTAATGGATTCATTTCAGGTGATAAATGTGCATAACGTTGTATACATAGAGCAACTTTTATCTGAGGAATTTTTTCAGATTTTATTGATGACGATGTTTGAGTATTAGTTGACGCATTTGCAACAACTAAACGTCGTGCAATGAAAGATGAAACTAAAGAAGATGTATATAAATAGATTGAACAAAAGAACTTTCTTTTTAATCCAATAATCTAATATTTACAGCGTTCGAAATGTAATGACTATCATATTAGATTTTGTATTGAATGTATCAGACTTGTGAGATTTGACTGAGTCAGCAACAGAAAGATAATATTCTTATAGATTGAACTTACCAAGAAATGAAGTTCGTAACATATCTAATAAAATATTGAATAAAATCTTTTCATAAATCGAAATATCATATCTAAAGGTGAAAATTTGTTGTTAGTTTTTTTCTATTAATAAAAGTTATGACTTTTATCACATAAGAATATAACGCAAAAAAAAAGACAGATATCGTTAGCTCAGCTAATATATGAAAAAATCAAAATTCAAATAAAATATGAGATCACAAAAAGAAGGAGAATAAGGAAAAAAACACAATCAAATATCATTTTTTTCATCGGAAGAATACCATTTTGTAAAACGAGGCACAATTGTTTTCCATCGTTTAAAATTACTTTCTGTTATGTCACATTGAATTGGTTTAAATACTTTATCAACTGTAATAATTTGTTGAAAATACGCATAATCATCTATAATACCATAACCATATGCAGCTAAAAATCCAGCACCAATACCTGATGCTAAATTAAATGCATGACAACGTTCAACAGACATGTCGGATAAATTTGCAATAGTTTGACAAATAAAATCACATGATGAAACACCACCAGCTGTTCGTAAACATTTTAATTCATTGTCAGTTTGATGTCGTTTAAAATCATCACGTACAAATGAAAATACATCATAAACAACAAAAGCAATTGATTCTAGTATAGCACGAAGTAAATCTTCACGTTTCGTTTCACTATTAATACCAATAAAACCGGAACCACAATATGGATCATTATTATGACCACCGAATGCTGGTAGAAAAAATACAGTTGATAATCGTGCCTCAGTTGATATGTTATTAAGTTCAGAAAAATCATCGAAAAAATGAGCTTTTTTTGCCCAATTAAGTACTGTAGCACAACCACTATGAAAAGCATGCATAAAATGAATATTTTCTGATGGTTTTGAAAGATCCGAATGAGCAACTAATGGATAAATACCATCAGTACAAGCACTAACTGGACCTGTTAAGATATTAATAAAAGCACCGGTACCCAATGTGAGTAAACATTCGCCGGGTTGAGATACACATTGACCAAACATACTAGCTTGAACATCACCAATGACAGCAGTAATAGGAATTGCAGCTCCTTCAAAAAAAAAGAATTTCTAATATATTCCTTTGTAAAAACTTATTTAAATACTAATATTATCAGTTTGTTCTTAAGTATGACGTCTGATAAGAAAAAAAAGAACCTTTATCTATGTCTTTTGTACTCTACATCGTACGATTCTTTTTTTGTATAATATTCATTGAATTGAATTCAAACAATATATAAATATATTTATCTTACCAAATAAACTTGCATCACATCGACCAAATTCTCCAAATGTTGGTTTTATTGTTGGTAATAATCTTATATCAATACCTAAATTTCGACAAAGTAATGATGACCATTGAGAATAAAATGGATCATAAAGGCCAGTTGAACTTGCACATGAAACATCTGTAACATGTTCTTGTCCACCCGTTAATTTCCATATAAGCCATGTTTCAATACAACCAAATAATAATTCATTTTTACGTGCACGTTCAACTAATTCCGGTTTTTTTTCAAATAACCATAATAATTTAAAAGCAATCATTTGTGTACGAAATTCAAGCGTAGATAATGTTGACATACGTGCTGTTTGAACAATAGGATAGATAACTTTAGCAAAACCACGTATTGTTTTCCATGTTAAAGAAGAATTTGTTGATGTTGCATGTGAACTTGATCTTGAATCATTCCATAAAATAATATTTGAATATGTTTCACCTGTTTTACGATCCCATAATATAACAGAATTTCTTAATGTTGATATACCTAAACAAGTTATATCTGTAACAGTTAATGGACTAGCACCTTCAATTGATTCTTTGATAACATCAAGTATAATAGACCAAAATTTTTCGGGATCAAATTCAAAACCATGTGGTTCAGGATGAAGAAGTGTTTGATGTTTTTGACTTGATGAAATAACTTCGAAAGTTTTAGAGAATATATAAGCACGTACCGATGATGTACCAATATCAATTGAAAGTATATAAGGATTTTTAGTAGGAAGTGAATTTTGTTGTTCTTGATCATCTAAATTACTAGTTAAACGAATTAAATTTCCTAATCTAGAGTTTGTTGACATTATTTATTGATTGATTTATTTGATTGTAAAGCTTTTTTTGATTTCAGTATATAAATCGTAGAGATTGTTCAGTTGATCTTCTTGCAGAAGATCAATAGCTTTTATATCAATTGGTCGACCAAATGGTACGTTGTTTTTTGACGAAACTTGACGAGTCAATATTCTTGCATACTCCTACGAAGAAAAAAAAACGAAGTAAGAGAAAACAGAAGATGACGATGTCAGCATCGATGTTTATCACAAACAGAAGAAAAGAAAAAAAAATAGTATGTGTCATACAAGAATGATGAATCAAGTAGCACAAAAAAAGAAAAGACACGCTATATTTGGATTTAGTATTATTGCGTTTGTATTATACTTACACTCCATTCAACCATAAAGTGAGTGACGAATTCAGGTTGGGCATTTTTATGACGACGAAATTCATCACGAACGTATTGATTACCTAATGCACTTAATTCATGCGGCAGACTTTGGTGTAAACGTAATATAGTTTTATATAATCTCAATACAGTCAAACGATGTTGTGTGCCAAAAATTTTTTCATACATTGATACTACACATATTTTCTTTTGGTATTTCTAAAATAAGAAATACTTGTTTTGGCTTTTTTTGTTTCATCTCTATTTTATCTTTAATCAAATTAACAAAAGAAGAAAAAAAAAGAAAGAAAAGCTGTGTTTTTTTTTAATATAAGAACATAATTATACATTGATATTATCAACTGTTCAACATTAAATGTTTACAAACAAAGAAAAAATATATATAAAGAAAGAAATAATCGACCGGGGTCAGTTGCAAATGGAATGTCATAAAAGTGTTTCATGACAATGTTGAAGATCAGTATTTAATCGATTAATATATCGATCTAAATCATTATTCGTTGGATCTAAACTTTTAGCAGCGAGTAAATCAGCTAACGCATCATCATATAATCTAAACAAAAATAAATTTCAATTAAAAAACAAAATATTTATTTCTGAAATACTTTTGATCTCGTTTAATTCTTGATCGAAGTAAAAGACAATCAGCTGTATTATGAATAGCAAGTGCTTGTGTACAATAATCAACCGCTAATTCATAAGACTAAAATATAACGAAGAAAAAGAATTTTGATTTATTTTTTTAATAATAAATAAAAACTAAAGATTTCTATTTCGTACATCTAATTTTCGTTTACATTTAGCTAAATTAATTAAACAATTATATTTCATTAATCGAAAACTGGTTGCAAATTGATCTGTTGTTTGTTGATCAACATCTACTGGTAGTTTTTTTAATGCATATGAAAAACGATAAGCAGCATCTTTGTATTGATTTTTCTATTTACAAAAAAAAAAGATGATGTTGATAATAATTTCGAATTAATAATATTTACTTTATAAAGTGAAATACCATCATCGATTAATTTCGATATTAAAATTGTCATCATATCATTTTTGCCTGCTGCTAATGCCCATGTTGATAAACCTTTAAAAAAAGATATAAATATATATATAGAATGAATATAATCTAGTCCTAACCAGTAAAAATCCTATTTTTCGAGTAAAAAAGAACATTTTTTGTTTCCTATTTGGTTCATATCTTTTGACCTTGTACCAGAATGATTTAACCAATCTATAATCATTTTTTTCTTCATAAATTCTTTTTTACAAAAAGTTATATTCTTCTTAGTAACATAAAATCAGATAGGAACTGTAAACGATGAACAGAAAGCAGTAGAATTTAATTCAAATACCTCTAAAATATGTATAGATGGCGCAAGTATACATACAATCTTTCAACTAAATTTGAGATTTTCAGTCAAAACAATTCTATATTTTTCTTCTACAAATCTTCATATGAAACTCAATCATGATGTTTAACTAGTTTCTATTCTTACCAAGTTTAACACTTTTCTTTAATAGACAATTAACAACAGCAACATTTCGACATCCAATAGCACGATCAAGTGCACGCATACCATTCTTATCAACATGATCAACAATTGAACCATGATCAATAAGTAATTGTACAAGTTGAACATCACCATAGAATGAAGCCATATCCATTGGTATTCGTCCATTAATATCTTCATGATTAATATCACTTCCATGATTTAATAAAGTTTCACAAGCATGATAATGTCCTTTTAGACAAGCCCATGATAAAGCTGTTAAACCTTCTTCATCTTCATGATGTACATTGGCACCTATAAGAAATAATAATCAACTTTTCTAATATTACAAAAATAATATTCAAAATTATAAACCTTTTTCTAGTAAACTATCGATAACTGCTAAATGACCTTCAGTTGCTGCAATAATTAAACATGTTCGTTTTTGTTTATCACAATGTTCAATGGATGCATGATGATCAAGTAGATATTCCACACATGACCACATACCATTTTTGACAGCTAATAATAATGGTGTCATTTGTCGAGAATTTATTCGATCGATATCAGCTTGATGATTCGTTATTAAATAATCAATTATTTTTATATGACCATGACTTGCAGCATTTGTTAAAGCTATTCAAATAATATCAAAAATAAATTCATTCGTTCTTTCTTTACAAGTGTGAATTTACCTGTTTCACCATGTATTGAATCAATACCATTTATATCAATAGATGAATAATTATTATTAGTTAACATATATTCAAGAGCATCTAATGAACCATTCGATGCTGCATAAACAAATGCTTGTTGTTGTATAGATTCATCTTCACAATTAAATAGTTTGAGAATAGGAACATATTTTGTTGCATAAGCAACAGCTGTTAATTGATATTTATCCTTTAAAATAATCTAAATAGAAAGAAGATTCAAAATTCTATAGGAATATCCATATATTTAACGTAATACTAATAACTTTGAGAAAGACGAACTGTATTTCCTAAGGGATACTATGTCCTTCACTTTACAGTAATTAATTTATCTACAAGGCTTGACAGAGGATACGTTTCAGCTTGAGTCTCCGTTAGTACTATTACACTTACATCAGCATTGTAATTCATTAATAATTGTACAACATGTTCATGTCCATATTCTGCTGCGAGCATTAAAGGTGTTTTATTTTCGTTATTTTTTGTTGCTGAATTAACATTAGCATGATATTTTAATAGTAATTCAACAAATGCTATATATCCATTCCGAGCTGCAATACATAAAAGTGGCATATGTATTGAATCAACTAATGAATTTGGATTCGCTGATATCATTAAAAGTAATTCACAAATGTCTAATTCAGGATAGAATGCATTCCGTAGTGAAGCTAATAAACGTGATGGATCATCGATTAAATGTTTTATTGTATGACATATTTGAATAATATTATTAGAAAATAAATCACTTAATGATAAATGACGAATACATTCAATTGCTTCTGGACCATGTAATGGTGTTGTCAACGAACGAGATAAATAAAGTGCTAGACGAGAATGGCCTTTTCTATAAAAGAAAACAAATAGAGAATAAAAATAAATAATATTTTCGAAGTATTTACTTGATATTACAAGCAAAATATTGATTAGAATTATTAATTAACCAATTTCGAATTGACCCGTGAATAATTGCATATGTTGAATTTGGAAATTGTGTTAAAAATATCGATAAATACGAAATATTCTTAATAGAAGAAGAAAAAATAAATAAAAATATTTTATTCAAATAAATTTACTTGTAAAAATGTTGACCATTCAATTTGTATGGCTTCATCAATATTAAGACAATCATATAGAACATTTAAATTAATGGGTCGTCGCGATGCTAAACATATTTCAAGTATAGCTCGACAAATATCAATATGTTTTTGAATATTTTCATTTAAAAATCGATAATAAAATATTTCATCTAATGTTCGTGGAAGATCAATATTAGATGGAAATTCCCGTTGTTCAAATATATCACAAAGTTGTTGAATAAAAAATAGATTTCCACGTGATAATGTACATAATTGATCCATATTTGACATCGATGATGATAGATCATATAATTCGTTACTACAATCACTCTAATAAAATAGAAATATATTTCAATGATTAGACACAACGTTTTTTTTACCTCTAATCTTTTTGATAAATATTCTCGAATATCATTATGTAAATAATTAGAAAATCTTGAGTCATCTTCAATATCTAATAAGACGAAATTTTGTAAAAATGTATTTTGTTCTTTTTGATGTTGATTATCATCTAAACGATTCATTGTTATGATTAATTTTAACCATGATGGTATACGATGAAGATTAGAAAATAAGAATTCTGTTATTGTTTGTCCTTCTGTATCACATAATTCATTATTAATACCGTCAATTATTAAATAAACATGATTTGAGATTGAAAATAATTCTTCTAAATGACCGAGAAGTTTCAATTGATTTAATTGATCAAGAAATGCTACAAAGAAAAATAGAATTCATACAAAAAGAAAAAAAACCTATTCAATTTAAAAGACTTCTTCATACCAGTAAAAAAAGCATGCTCAATATTTTGTATACATGCATTTAATGTAATTGCTTTACGTGTATGTTGTTCACGTAGAATAACATCACGATAAGCATGTAAAAGTGGATGTTCAAGTGCACGATAAATGATTGAATGTATTATATCAGGTAATGAACAAGAATTCGTTTGTGAACAATCACAAAAATGTGAAGATAATATATGAGATTTTAACCATTCATAGGAAGATCGTTTTGGTGAATTTACTAGAATTATTGAAGCTAAAATACAAAAACAAATTTGTTCAATTATAAACTGATCAGTCATAATCGTTTTACTGATGAACGTGTCAGATTAAGATTAAAGCGTATATATATTTTATCACTGAAATCTTAGTTGTATAGATATTTAGATTCATAATTATTTGATGTAAACAAATATCTTTCGAAATTTGATCGTTACTATTGTTAGACGTTTTTAGGGACTCCTTTTATATATGCCGACATGTTGACATTAATCAGATAGATATGATAAACTACTCAAATGTAGTTGACCTTCATTCGATGACTTATTTTACAAGAAATATGTTTATTTTTTCGTACTTTTTTCATTTCGAGTAATAACTGATGTAATTTGTTGAGATCCTGTTGATGTTGATATTGTTGTTGGTGGTGTTGATCGTAGTAAATATTTTAATAACATTGTTTTACCCATACCTGCTGTACGACTTAATAAAACAAGACCGGGTTTAGTTGTTCCTTTTAATAATTTATACATTTCATCATAAATCCAATCACGTTGAATAAAAAATTTTTCGTCATCATTTATTGAATTTAATTCATCTTTTACATTTGATATACAATGACATGTATGATTTGAAGGAGAAATTGATGATGGTGTTGTTATATAACGTGGAGATGACCATGTTTGAGATTCGATCATTGTATTAGGAACTGATTTACTCATTTGACCAAGTTCATAACCAGAAAATGTATCGATACCTTTTCAAAATAAAATAAAATATAATTCTATTTTAACAAAAAATTCAACTCACTTGGTAATACAATATTAATACCGGATGGTGAAAATGAAAGATCAGAATTTGACATACTTGGTGAAATACTTATTGGATTTAATTGTGTTTGTTGTTGTTGTTTATTTTTAGCCATCATCATTCGTTGAATTGATGTATGTGTCGTAGCTGATGATGTTGATGGTGACGGTGATATTGATGAAATACGTGTATGATTACTTTGAAATAAAATGCCAAGTAATTGTTCATGTGCCATTTCAGGCGGTGGAGGTGGTGGATAAGGGTCATCGCTCTGTTGTTGTTGTTTAGAAATTGAATGTTCAATAGATTTATTATGATTATTTTTTAATATTGTTGCCATTGAACCATTCGTTTTAATTGATGATCGTTGTTGACTTGATGTTAATGATGTTCCACGTGCAAATGAATTACTTGAAGATTTACTTCCATTGAAATGATGTAATAATTTTTGAAAATGAGATACTGGCTTAGTTGGTGTTGGTGGAGGACGTTCGGCTGTAGCACGTGAAATAGGAGGTGATGCTTGAACTAGTAAATTATTTGCAATTATAGTTGATGACATAGGAGGTTGTGACGAAGAAGAAGACGACGGAGTAGGAGGAAGTGGTAGAGGTGACATTGATCTAATTGTATTTTTCTTATCTTGTGGGTATCGATTTTTAACTAAAATAATAATTATTTTTATTCATTTTAAAAAAAGAAGAAATAAATATATAATTAGATGCAATAAAATGTCAAAATTTTTATGAATTATTTAAGAAATCTCAATTATTATACTATCGTTCTGCATGATTAATTTTTTCTTTTAAAAAATCTTTTTTGACATCTGTATATATATATACTTACCTAAATGTGACAAGCATATCGAACATTGTTCATATTTGAACATACATGTATAGCACTTTTCATGATGACATGTCGTATCGATTAAGCGTTTGTGTTTTTGATTATCATATGGACAACGACAGATCGGACATGATTGATTTGATGAATTGGAAATACATGTATCGTCGTCGTTGGTAGAAGATTTTTTCCGTATTGATGAGGAAAACAGACGTGCCGAACGAAACAGGACAAGATCTAAAAGTAAGACAATAGATAGAAATTTATTTTAGAAGTCATTCTTTATGATGTAATAGTTCATTTTCTTATCGTAGGGAAAAGTCAAAACAATTCAAATACTTTTTTCTCTCCTACTCGTGTATTAGTTGTTTTATCATAAGAAGACAAACTATACAAATCGACTCAATTGATTTACCAATACTTAACGTTATACGAATAATTTACAAATGAATTTGTAACCTGAATGAACTCGAACGTAATAATGATGAATTTTAAATAAACGTTCGAATGTCGTGTATTCATATTATATGTTACATTGTCCTTTTTTTTCGTCAGTGACATATGCATATATATATATATGTATATATATAGTAACACTAGTACCCGAAGCTTGATGGGTAGATGCAATGACATGTTCACCATTACGCTCGACAATCAATTTATCCGATGACGAAGCATAAATGACATTTTATATGTGCGATAATGTCATTTTGAACTCTCAAATTGTTCTTTCTCAAGCACTTATAATCATAAATGAATATGACAAATAATAAAATGCTAAAATTCTTTATCTTTAAGAAAGAACATATGTGTGAAAGATACCCTTTAGACATACCTCGTTTAAACATATATGTAGATATTTGAAATCTTATGCTTAATAATCGTTGTTCATTTTTCGTTTAAAGTCGTTTTTTATTATTGTTCTTCTTACTTTCGCATGGCAATCAACCGTATGATAGTGATTGGACTCTCTTTCTCTCTCTCTTTCCCTCTTTCTCGTTCCCTTCTTTTCTTTCCTCTCTTTTCTACACTCAATATTTGAAGCGTATACATATACCGATGTTTGAAATGTACAAGAGCGTGTCATTACTTTACACACTTTTGCTCATTCATTCTGTTCGGATCTATATGCAAAGCGAAATCACAAAAAAGAAATGAGCAAAGACAGAACGAGAATTCAGTTTCCGCCTAACACATAATAAACTCTCTTTTCTTTCTTCTTCTTCTTCATACACAAAAAAAAGTTATTACGCAAGTGTTGACATGCAAATATGCGTATAGGGCGTGGTTATGGTGTTGGTGGTAATCAAATTTGTGCGACTACACGCCGCTCATATGTCATTGAACACGCGACTATAACCGAACGCGATTTCAGACAAGCAGATTAAAAATGAGTTTGAATGAGTGATTGAGCATGCATGTCAATCATTCTATCGGCTCACTTTCTTTCCTTTCTTTTCTTTTGCTAGTCAAAAGAAATCAATACCAATGATAGAATATTGTTCAAACTATTAACATTTTTCTTTCATGCATCACCTCATACTGTTTATCAAATTACATCTTGTTATCTTTAACCCAATACATATACATGAAAATAATATATACAAGACATAAGCGTGAGATAATGTAAAAGAAAATTGTTATTTTTATATCGTATAGCTAAAGGTCAAAATTATATCTAAATTGTAATTTAGTATCTGTAATACTTTATGTCAAGGAGAAGTTTTAAGTTAAAAGCACTTATTGTAAGAATAACCCGAAAAAAAAGAAATTCGAAAATTTTGTATATTTTTAATCAACTTCTTCAACCATCATATCCTGTTTTAAGTGGAAACACTCAAATTTTTGTGACACAATCTTAAATTGTCCAAAAAATGAAACAAACGTGTTTTTATATATGGTACAAAATTTTATCCTCATAAGTCTCTCTCGAGAAAATCTTCTGTTGTTAAGGATTAAAAAAAAACAGAACACTAGAAAAACTTAATTGGTTAGTAATTATATTAAACAAGTATTAATATTCACACTGTATTAATTCAAAAAAAAAACCAAATAGACATTTTTTACAATATCAATACAAAAGAATTAATATTAATACAAACGTTTTGTTTTTTTTGTGTAAATTTTGAAAATAAAAAGATAATATTTTTTTTTGTGTTAGTAGAAAAGAAAAACAGACAATTGTTAGTTTGTTTACAAACATATTATATGGACGAATAGACAATAAAAACAGCTGATGATTAGCACAAAACATAAATGAATGAAGCAAATTTTAACAAGAAAATGGATTTCACTCATATTCATTGTTTGAAATTGAATCGATAAAAATACAAATACAAAATAACACGTATACAAAAACTAGGAGATTCATGCATTTAGAATAATAAAAAGAGATTTCTTTTTCATTGTCCACGAGGTCGAGTATTTCTTGAATATACAATAACTTGAAGGAGTATGGCAAAATCAATAGTAATTTGTAATATACCACATAGTAAAAATTGTTTCGGGGCATTTCGTAGAATAAAATAAACTGTTTTATATATATCACCGGCTGCCCATAAAAGAACCTAACAAAAAATTAAAATGTACAAATTTTATTTATTAAAATGAATAATTTACCATTTTTACACTCATTCCTTCGGTTGATTTTAAACGAAAATTACGTATAAATTGAGGTATACCAAGAAGAGCTTCGATAAGTACAGCCAATAATCCAATACTTTCAATATAAACCATATTATTAAGAAGTAACCATGTCATTGTGCCTAAAGTAATCATTGCATGTTTTTTTTTAAAAGAAGGAGAATGGATGATAACTCTTTGTAATTCGTATAATCTTTCGATTAATTTTATAATGCCACTCAATGCAAGAATGACTAAAGCATTATCTCACTATCGTTATGAAGAAACATAATCATAATCTCTTATTGATAAAGCAGTAATACTCAAAACGATTTAGATATCATTCTAATTTGCTATACTTACTGAATATAATTGTAATGATACATAAAAATTGCAGATAACTCGTAAATCTAAAAATGAATGTATATAAATAATTATAAATTTATTTTGCTTATGATTTACTTTGTCCATCTCCAAAAATAATCAACTTCGAAATCAGTGAATTTTTTATCGAATATTTCATCTGTTAATATCTCTTTTGAACCTGAAACACTTTCTTCTCCTTCAAGATGACGACGCATTGATAATGAATGAATACGTGTCCAAAGTTCAAGCATAATAAGCATACAAATAATCATTACTATTGATTGTAAAAGTAGTGGAATTTCAAAATGTTTACCAAACCAAAATTCAATACGAATTATATTAGCAATAAGTAATGTTAAACAGACATAATTTGAAAAACCTTCAGCATTTTGTTTTCGTTTTATTATCATATACTGTGGAATATAAGGAAGAATACCACCAAACTATAACAAAAGATATACATCAAAGATCACATATCAAAAAAGCATAAGTTTTTATTTATCGATACAACTATGTCTAGTATAAATAACCTATTCAAATTCTTTCGGATAAAATGTTATACAATCAGCGATATATTTTTTTTTAATTAAAAGACTTGTCATTAATTGAATGTATCAACATCTTTTGTACTATCAGTATAAAAGATATATATTTATATAATTGCATTACAATAATACAATTAAATATATCATAATATAAAATAAAAATTGTACATCAAGATAAGATGAAGCATATGACTTATGAATATGAAAAATATACAATGAAGATGACCTTGTCTATTACTATTAATCGTATATGTTCAAGTGTATAATTCATTATATTTCAAGATTTTCATGAAAGAATGATGAATAGATATTTGATTTGTCATTTTATCGTGTTCATTTTTAAGATCAATGATATTCAAATGTTAATTCGTTATCCTCCGCTGGTTATTAGATTGATCATTCATAGAAATATTGAAGAATTAAAAAAAAAACAACATGAAGTTTAAACAATTTCTAGTGTACATTGTACTCTGAAAGACAAGCTCTACGCAGATCGATTTCTTTATGTTATTGACATGTCGGCTGTATGTATTATCTATTTCCAATAGGTTATTTAGTATGTTTACTGACATTATTCTACCAGAGGGTAAAAAATATATCTATCGTATGTTAATTTCTAGTTTGTGGCAGTCTATGACAAACAACTAAATGGCTTTTTTTCTCTCGGATACCCCAGGGTGATAATAAATAACCCGTCGCGGCTTTACTCATTAGATTCTTCTCGAAATATCTTTTTGGAAATGACATAAACGAATCTATATTTATATTTTTAATTTTAAGATTAAAAACAAGTAAATTTATTTGATTGTATTTTGTATGACATGTCATATATAATTAAAAGTTTAAAAGCTTGTGAGAGAAATCTGTCATATTATATATAGTTTTCTTTTTTTGTCTATAATTAATTTTTTTCAAATATAAAACTTTAGTTTGATCAATCAAAAAGAAAAGATCAAACGACTACATTATTTTGACAAACTATAATCGAAATGTTAACAAATGAATTTTTAATGTTAAATAAAAAAAAGTTTTATTCTCATAACCTTTTACTAAAGGTGAAGTAACGTGTACGTCATTTTAAAAA